TATTAGAAGAGAACCGAGAATGTTTTATTGACATGCTCATCACCTTCACTTGGATAATTTCATATTTATAAATAAACAGAAATAAATGATAAAGCTTAATTTACCATCAATATTGAAACCAAATGTTTATGTTCGAGATGGTGAATGATGAATTTTTTTTTTAAATACCAATTAAAAATAAAAAAAAAAGAGTCAAACTTGGGTCAATTTGTTATATTTATAATATGGATAATGAGATTAAGATGATTAATAAAAAAAATTATAAAATTTAATTTTTAATAAATTAACTGAGTTATCTGAAATAGATTGAAATAGATGAGATTTGTTTGGGTTTGTTTTGTTTTTGGAAAGGGTATGAGATATATAGATAATTTTCAGATGAAACAGAACACGCCTTCTGCCTGGAAATTTTGGGCAATGGCATTGCAACTTTATGCCTTGCTACCTACAACTTTTGACGACGATCGTCACCAGAAAAAAAAATGTGCACTATTTTTGGAATTCAGACCCAATTTATACCTTTTTTTTTATCTAAAAATAAATTAAAATCATCTTAAAGATATGTAAAAACTCATTTTTGATCTGAAAACACGTTTTAATCAATCCTAGATACTGAAAAAACCAAAACCTCCTATCTCACATGCCTTCTTTCTCCTTTAATTACAATAAGAGACTTTATTATAACACAAATGAAGTTCAAGGACTGCTTAACACAAATATACAACTTTAAGGACTAAAGTGAGAAAATTCAGAACTTACAAAAAAAGGTAACTTTAGCGCAGGAGGGCTTTGTCTTTATTGTTTTTTAGTGAAAAAGTCTTTGTAGAATTTTTTTTTATTTTCTCTTTTTTTTTTCAAATGATAAAAAAATAAAATTGATGAGATTTTTTTTATATTGCATAAAAGTTAGATGATGATAATTTTTTTTATTTAAGGTTGAGTTGGGTTGAATTTCTTTTTACTTAGTGTTGGGTCTTGTTGGCTTTTCTTTTATTTTATTTTTTTGTCTTTGTAGATTTTGTTTTCTTATTTAATTTATGGAACTTTTTTTATATTATATAAAAATTAAGTAATAATAATTTCTTTTCATTTTAGGTTGGGTTAGGTTGAATTTTTTCTCTCTAAACGTTGGGTCTTGCTATCTAGAAGGATCTAATAATATTAGGTTTCAGCCATACCCAAATATTTTATATTTTATACCCCTGTAGAATTTTTTCTCTTTTCTCTCTTTTATTTTCATACATAAAAATAAATAAATTGATAAGACTTTTTTTACATTGTACAAAAGTTAAGTGATGATAATTTTTTTTATTTAAAATTGGGTTGGTTTGAATTTCTTTTCTCTTAATGTTGAGTCTTGCGGCCACTAGGACCCAATAGCATTGGATCCTGTTGACTTTTCTTTTATTTTTTTATACAGTAAAGAGAAAAAAAATTAATAAAATTTTTTTTATATTGTACAAAAATTAGGTAATGAATTTTTTTTCATTTGAGGTTGGGTTAGTTTGAATTTCTTTTCTTTTAGTGTTAAGTCTTGCTACTTAGTAGGATCCAATAATATTAGGTTTGAGCCGGATCCAAATTTATTAGGCCTAGCTTTTAGTCAAATCCAGATATTTCATATTTTATACCTCTGTAGTTTTTTTTTGTTTTTTTTCATTTTTTATACAATAAAAAGAAAATAAATTAATGGTAATTTTTTTATATTCTATAAAAGTTGGATAATAATAATTATTTTTCATTTGAGGTTGAGTTGGGTTGAATTTCTTTTCTCTTTGCGTTGGGTCCTATTACCAAACAGGATCCAATAGTGCTGGGTCCTGCAAGCTTTTCTCTTATTTATTTTTTTATACGGTAAAAAAAATAAATTTATAGAAATTTTTTTATATTTTATAAAAGTTAGGTGATAATAATTTCTTTTCATTTAAGGTTGGGTTGGATTAGATTGGATTGAATTTCTTTTCTCTTAGTGTTGGTTTCTAATGCCACCTAGACCCAATAACGTTGGGTTATGCTAGCTTTCTCTTATTCAATTTTTTTTATATGATAAAAAGAAAATAAATTAAAGGGACTTTTTTTATATTATATAAAAGTTGAGTGATTATAATTGGTTTTTTTCATTTGAGATTGGGTTGGGTTGAATTTATTTTCTCTTAACATTAGGTCATATTACCATTAGGGCCCAATAACGTTAAGTCCTGCTAGCTTTTCTCTTATTTATTTGTTTTTTAATTTTATTTTTTTGCCTTTGTAGATTTTTTTCTTTTCTTTTATTTAATTTTTTTATACGATAAAAAAAAATTAATAAATTTTTTTTTTATTTTGTACAAAAATTAGGTGATAATAATTTTTTTTCATTGGAGGTTGGGTTAAATTGAATTTCTTTTCTCTTAGCGTTGAGTCCTGTTATTACCATGGCCCAATAGAGTTAGGTATAACGTTGGGTTCTGCTGACTGTTCTTTTATTTATTTTTTCAATATGGTAAAGAGAAAATAAATTGATAGAATGTTTTCTATATTGTATAAAAGTTGGGTGAAGATATTTTTTTATTTGAGTTTGGATTAGGTTGAATTTCTTTTCTCTTAGCATTGGGTTCTATTACCTAATAGGACCTAATAGTATTAGATCCGAGTTAAACTCAAGGCTATTGAATCTGGTTTTTAGTTAGACTTAAATATTTTTAATTATATTTTTTTGTTTTTTTAGATTTTTTTTTATATATATGCTAAAGAGAAAATAAATTGATGAAACTTTTTTTTTATATTATACAAAAGTTGAGTGATGATAATTTTTTTTCATTTAAGGTTGGATTGGATTAAATTTCTTCTCTCATAACATTGGGTCCTACCAAAAACCAGACCTAATAGCGTTGAGTACTGTTGACTTTTCTCTTATTTTTTTTTATATGGTAAAAAAAAATGAATTGATGATATTTTTTTATATTATACAAAAATTAGGTAATAATAATTATTTTTTATATGAGATTGAGTTGAATTGAATTTCTTTTCTTTTAGTGTTGGATCTTACTGTCTAGGAGGATCTACTAGCATTAAGTTTAGCTACCCAGCAAAACCCAATAATATTTCGTTTATATTAACAGTTTTTTAGTTTTATTTTTCCATCAAACCTAACATTTATTGGATTTGACTAGTAAATTTAATGCTTTTAGATTTATCTTTATAGCTAGATTCAGTGTTATTTTGTAATTGACTTGTTAAATCTAGTTATTTAATATATTCTTTATATTTTTTAAAAAATTATTATTAATACGCTAATGTGTATGGAAACTGCGTTTTCACGCCAAAAAAACGCCGTTTAAGCAGACAATGAGAATCCAATATTAAATTCAACTATATATGTCTCGTTAGCGGCTAATTAATTTATTAAATCCTAAACGACAAGTCAGGCAATCATCTCGTAAAGAGGTTTTTGTTTCCCATACACGCAACGTTCTGTTAGGATTCTAGCAGAAAGTTTCTCTTTGGAACCAAACTTTGTGGGTTTCTACTCTTCTATCTCCCTTTTCTCTTTCCGAATGTTTCCTGTTTGGTCTCTGAGAAAAAACCAAAGTAAAAAACACCGAATGTTTCCTGTTTGGTCTCTGAGAAGAAACCAAAGTAAAAAAAAAAAAGGAAAAGAAAAGAAGAAAAAACACACATCTCTCACGCAGCAGAGCCTTTCCATTGAGAAACCAACCCATGATTTAATTTGTTATAGAAACACATAAATAATATTACACATTGATGTAACTTATTACTGACAACATAAAAGGGTTAAGTAAACTTTGTTTGGTTGACGAGAAAAGGAAAGAAAAGGAAGGAAAATAGTTTCGAGTCATTTTTTCTTTGTTACAAGTACTCGCACTGTGCCGCTAACACAGCTTGATTCACATGATTTAATTTTCCACCTTTGTGATCGTGCATATTATGTTGAAAGCTTGTGTGGTGCTGTTGATGGATATATTGCATAAGAGTACCATGTTCTTATTTTCTTTAGTTCTTCTTTTGTCTCAGGTGTTGTGTTTCTGTGAAGAGAGAATTTTACTAGAACTCTAGAAGTATGGAGGATATCTTTATTGTTGGTTCAGTTGGTAAGAACTTTGACAAAGGTATGTTCCGAATTCTCAGTATCTTTCACCACATTGTTAAATTCATACTAGCTAGTTTTTGTTGGTGCTTGGTTATGTTGCTAGTAATTATCCCATATCAAGTCCTTAATTTGAGCTTTAATTAAAAGCAATATGTTCCTCTCTAGATCATACATTCTGCTCGTAGTCTTTGCATAATGTTTTTATTGAAACTAGCTGGACACAGTGTTGGAAATTTCTAAACTGAGAAGCATACAGCAGGTTGTCTTTTTATGAGCTCGTGTTGGAGTACTTAATCCTTATTCGAAATCGAGAAAGAAGTTCTGGGGGATGGATAGGAGAAGCTCAGTCATGATTCAGACCATTACTTTATTGTTTCCCAAAATTTAATGATTGGCTTTAGAGAGGTTACAGTCGATCTCAGCTTGGGGTGTAGCTTCTTGCTAAGAGGGTAATCTCATAGGTGTTACTGCTGCGGTTTCTGCTACTGCTGTGTGATTTTATAGTTGATACTATTTC